TTTATTCCTGTTGTACACTAAAGAGGACATGCTGTGAAATTAAAAATAAAAATAAATTTGAAAAAAAGATGTCTCATGTCCTCCAAAGACAGAAAATCACAATTAACCTAAAACTGAAGGACACTTTTTTCCTTGGGTCTCAGAAGGATATTAAAAAAAACTATTTGAGCTTCGACTGTTCAATCTGTTGGCAGAATGTGGGCAATACCTTTGTCATCCTTGATAGTAAGCATAGGCAGTGCATATATAACCTTGTAGGAGGTCAGCGGGGCACTCAGAGGGCAGCCAAGAATGTCCTGGAAGGAGGGGAGAGAATCAGTAGGGAAACCAGCAAAGCCAGCGTGAGACTGAAATAAGAGGAGCGTCACTGAATTTTCAGAAGAGGGACAGGTGCAAAGTGAAGGGTTTGAGTCATTATATTATGTGTCATGGGACGTAACCATAAAAGGTGAGAACCCACCTGGCCTAGAAGCTCCGTGATCACAGGGATCACCCCATTCTCCTTGGTGAAGTCCTGGTAGGACATGTTCCTGGCCGACCGCCGTGTGCAGATGAAGACGTCCCTGTTGACAGTCTCAAAGGCAATGTACTTCATGTCAGGTCTGACCCAGCAGTTGGTCTGTCCAAACATCGTCTCTGGTCGTAGAGTGGCTGCAACCAGGAAGACGCTCCTTCCCTTAAGTGCACTGCAAAAGTCACCACGGGATGCTCTTCACACCACTGAGAACCAGCTTTGTTTTAACTGCCAACATGTCAGTTAAACCACATTGGGTTACCTTAGTTTTGAAGGGTATGGTTCAAGGATCTTCATTTTAATGAGGGTATATTCCTGTGGTCCTACACCCTACAGAAGGCATGAGGAATGGTTCAGAAGGAACATATGCTCTCACACACACACAATGTGACACATGGGAGATTCAAACACCGTCATCCCACCTCTCCTGTCTGCCTGTCATGGTCCATGCAAGGCTGCCCGTCCTTAGGAGAATAAATGGTGTACCTGTGAAAACAAGTTTAAAACATGTTACTTTTACTATTTTTGGTGTAAACATTCACAGTACATTAGGGGTGTAAGGAAGCAAGACTGCATCATTTTTGGGGGCAAAATCCTCCTTAAAGATACCTCTACTGGGCTGTGCACTAACGCTGACGTGTTGCAGGCAGATGCGTGAAGTAGCAGTACCACACCCGATTTCCCAAAACATACGGAGGCCCGTTAATATTCATAAACAAAGAGCTACCTGGTGATACTTGAACTATAACACTTTTGGGGACTCACCCGTCACTCTATCTAATGGTTAAGATAATCTTTGCGCTGCAATGTTTTTGGGAAACATTCTTCTTTTTGCTAACTACAATGTTAAAAAAGATTTAAATTTCGGCTATCGAAATAACCATGTAATTGATAAACCAAATCGTTGCAGAAAACAAACATTTCTGAAGCACCGTTCTCTAAATAAGTGTAATCGAATCCAATTGAGGCCAACAATTTCGCTGCAGTCCAGGTGAAAGTGTCCACATCTCACCTCTTGCCAAACTTGATCTTATTCTTTTCTTTTAGGGTTACAAATTGCCACCTGACAAAAGAGTCATAGAAGGGATTGACATCAGTTGTGATGAAGGATCTTCGCCAGTCCACCTGTAGTGCAACAATATGGAAGATAAAGCAATATCCAGCACAAGCAAATACATATGAAACACAAAAATATCGACTGGCACGTTCAGCAGAAATGTCAGTCTCATGGTTCCTGGCGTCGTGTGACGAGGCTCCAGCTCGCCTCTTCTTTGACATCCCAAGCCATGGAGACGCAGATGTGCTCCTCACCTTCAATCCCATGTCCTTCAAGTCCTGGACTGCCAGCGGGGGGAAGTAATCCAGCCAATGAGCTGCGTCCGCAAACTTGACAATCTCTGCATCTCGCAGGCCGAGTGACTTCATGATATCCCACTGAAACTTCGCCCCCCCGGATTTGGCAACAGCCTTACTCTGTGGCCGATGGGACAAAGTCAATTTTACATTTGAGAAAGAAAACACACAGATTTAATCCACCTCTCAAGCTCAAGACCGTATTTACAGGATCACACGGTGCCGCACCTTCTTCCCCTTCGTCTTGTCCTTGATTATGATCTCATCTCCTGCTTTTTGCTTGGGCTCCTCTTCCTCCTCCTCCTCCTCATCGGGGAACTGGGGTGGGTTACCGTAAAGCTCGATCTCTCGCTTCAGCTTGTCTGCACAGGCCTGGAAAAAGAATGAATCGTTAAGAAAGTAGCAAGAATAAAAATCTCAGTAAATGCTGACTAAGGACATACCAACAATGTCAAAGTGATGAGAACGGCAGTGACTCACTTTGATGGGCATTCCTGTACAGTGCAGTCCGAAAGGAAAGAGACATTGTTTCCCTTTCAAGCGCTGGTATCCCATGGCAAACTGAAGGGCAACACCATACACAGTAAGGGACACGAGTACTCTGCGCGATTAAAGACCAACGTAGTGTCAGTATCAGAGACAGAACATTACCTCACACTTTGACAGGCAGAAGGTGTGACCCAGATGAAGTCTTCCATTCATGTACGGGTAGGGGAACGTTACGAGGTACTTGTTCTTACTGGAGTGTAAGGAAAGGGGGTGTTAGTATTTACCACGAAGAGTGTTTTATTATAAGACCTCAACCTGCCTACACACACATCCTCACTAATTTACTAGGCAAAGCTAGGAATTACATGGAACAAAAGTGTGACCATTGTGGGGGAAAAAATAAGCTGTTGCCATATTGAAATTCATAGACCATATCACAAGAACATTTATCACACAGAACAAGACCTACAACAGCTACATTTCATGGAACTGGTTAGTCTACATAATGCCACAGAAACATCATCACCATCAGTCATCTTAACCAATCAAGGAATAACATACTCGTATAACACAAACATCCATTACAGATGACCACCCCTTATTGTGCTAATTATAATCCACAAGATCTGCTGCTAATTACATGGTTTCAGTTTTCCATTTTATTTTGTGTTTTTTATAGCTTAGGTGGGAAACATACAGAGTTACGTTGTGCATGTAGAATAACAACAAAGTTGTTCTATTCCAGTTTAAAATGCATGCAAAGATAAGTTACTTGTCAAAGCCGTGCACTTATTTTTCATTAATATTAGAAGGAGAAAACACTGCAGTTGGTTATATGGGTGAGTAATTGCTCAACTTGGCCAGGGAGTCTTAATGGACTGTCTGTTTAATGTCTTATTTAAATGTGCTCTTCTGCCTTTATAAAGCTCTTTGAATTGTGCCATATAAATAAACTTCCCTTGCCAGACAGTAACCATACTTACTTCTCGGTTTGCTCCGGTGTGCTGGGCGAATCACATTCAAACACCTTCTCCTTCTCCCATTTCCTCTGGACTTCTCGTTCTATCTTTCGTAGAAAGGCAAGTTTGGCAGTTCCTTTCCGTTCCTGCGGCACGAATGCATGCATGCATGAGACACCCCCGGCACCGGCCGGCTAAGTAATTCTGACACATAGATGAGCTGCTAATGGCACTGGCACGTAGCGGCGCTAAAACCATTCAGATCGTTGTAGATCTCGTATATCAGAGCTCTTGTTACCTCGACATGTTCACGCTTTTACACTGAGAATAACAATATCAAACATATTTTGCTAGGAGCTAGCTAACCATAGCTATGAAGCTATACAGCAAGGCACGTTTGGGGCAGTTAAAATACATCTTTTAACAAGCTGTAACTGACCACAATACGACCTAAAGAGAAAAAAATTGAGAAAATTGTATCTCACCGTCATTTTCAGTGCGGCAGGTGCTTCTCAACCAAACAAAAACTTCCAATAGCTCCCACTTAGCACCAAGAACACACCATCAAACCAGGAAACAGGTTTGAGCAGGGCCGAAACCTAAGAATACGATTGCATGCCGGTTACAAGATCGTCCATTTCTGAAACTACATATCCCAGGTATCTCCATAAAGGCAACGTCTCACGGAGGTTTTTTAGTAAAGCATTGTGGGTTTTGTATTGCTTTTATACGTCAACGGTCGCCTGTGTTGAAAAATACCAAATGAGGATATGTATGTATTAGGCCTGCATATCATGTGGGTCTGTAAATGGCCCACAAGTGCAGTTCCTTAAGTATTATTCCACTTATTATTCGTCTTGCCTAAAGCACAAGGAAAGATGAACGTGAGACTCATTAACATATACGGGTCAAAATAACATTTATGAACAGATTCACGTTACGTTCAATATCACATACAGCGCTATTTGTTGTTCAATATTTTTATATACTATATATTCATAATTAAAAAAAATGAAATAGTGTGTTAACTATTTTTGTACTTTGTTCTCATTCTGACTCCAGAGAACCTGCTTAAACTACAACACCACCGCAGTACGGATTTCCGGTTAGCAGTTGAACCCGCCCCAAAAGTCAACCGACGTGTGACGACCCCACGACCCCTGAATCTGATTGGCCGTTCGCCCTGTCAATCTCCATTCCGCGTACTCCGCCGTCAAATAGTGTGTTCGACCTGCAAGTTTTCGGTTTCTGGGCCTAAACTGCGTCTGCAATATTCCGATTCTGACGATGAAAGTGGGATCATTACAACAAATCATTAATTTATAGTCAATATTTGAGAGCAAGTTTCAAAAGATGATCATTGAGAATGTGGAAGCTTTGAAGTCGTGGTTGGCTAAACTCTTGGAGCCAATGTGAGTGATGAATGCGAATGTCATGTTGATTTCAGATAGCAGTGCTCCTGGGTCGGCGCTCACGCCGCTATCGGGGCTCGCTGCTAACTGGCTAGCCCCGCTCGAATGCTAGCTGGCTAGTTTTGCTCCGCTGCTTACTTGCTAGCCAGACAGACGTGCGTGATGAGTAACGTGTTGCTGTACGACGTGGCAGATGGGGCAGAGAGCCGAGCAGGAGGCACACACGGTAGCCTGTAGGCCCCGGGTTTTCTAGCCGGCCGGGTTAGCTAACCGCTGCGGCGTGTCTCCTGTATCTGGCCGTTCGCTCCAGCTGGAGGGGCATCCGGCTGCTGCGTGTTAGCTTAGCTAGGCCGCTGATGGCGGTCTCTGAGGAGCTGGTGCTTAGTGATCCGCTTAGTTAGCTGGTCCGATCTGCTGGATGCTCACGATGGACTTTGATCTGTCCTCATGCGAGTCGGGCACCCGGAGGCAGGGACGGCCACCTGGCTGCCCTGCTGCTAGCTATACGCACCGTAATGGTATAAATCACCACCGCGGCTTTTTCGGCCATTCACAGAGTCCGGAGTATGTATGTTCGGCTATACTAAGTCTGGATGCTTGCTAACCAGGAATTGCCTGGATGGTTATTGAAGTTGCTGTCAATGTGTATATCAAAGGGTGGATATGTGATCTGCTTTTAAAACGGTCCCCCGTCATGTCAGTCTGCTTGTGAGCCGATGGCCAGCGCGGTGACCCGGCTATTTATAACCAGCGGTCGCTTTTTTTTATGCGCTGTTTGTAAATCCTGTCCGACCGAGTTCACGGGTGTCGCTCCTTAACAGGCCATCAACAGGTTGAAAAGCCGCCGTAAATCCTATGTCTGTGCTCCTTGCTGGGCCTCCCAGATGACCCTGTGTATGTAATGTCCGTGCATACAGCATGCGGGCGGTGCATGTCTGCTTTGGTATTTTTAGGTGAATTAGCCACCCCCCCCAGGTACTATAATGGGGTTAATGCGGTGTGGAGTCCGTCACATAATCGTTTATTTGTTCTGTTTTTTCTCTCTTTCTTTTGTAGATGTGATGCAGACCCCTCGGCATTAGCCAACTATGTTGTTGCTCTAGTTAAGAAAGACAAACCGGAAAAAGACTTGAAGGCCCTTTGTGCTGATCAGTTGGATGTATTTCTACAGAAAGGTAAATGCTTTGATCATCCTGGTTCCCACTAAATGTATGTTTTATAAGTTCTCTTAAAGATTAAAGGTGTCCAGAGTCTCATTCAAGTGTAATCGCTGGGTAATATCACATCCAAGCTGGCAAAACGTGACCATGTGAATGACTTTCCTCTTTCAGAGACGACCGGCTTCGTAGATAAACTCTTTGAATGTCTGACGACAAGAAACTACTTGGCGAACACAGAGGTGAAAGAAGTGCAGAAGTTGGAGACCAAGTCATCGGCGCCAAAACCAGAGGAGAAGCAGGAGGTACAGAGTGTCCTGCCGATGTGTGAGCGGCGTGTGTCACGCCAGACTCCACCCCCGTGTTCCTCCGATGTCTTACACCCCGCTTTTCCACCTCCAGAATGTAAATGCCGAGGAAGACCGGGAGGCGAGGAGGAGGAGGAGTCCGTTAAAAAACCGTTCGGACCTTAATGAGTCCAGGCAAGTGTCGTCATCAGAGTAAGGGGACGATGGGGGGTATTTCTGCTTGTTTGTGTTGCTAGAGTTGGGATCCAGTATCAGGTGGCCGTCTTGGTAGGGACAAAGCCCATAGCTCCAAGGAGAGAGTATTCCTGATGGGATTGTGCATGTCCTGCGTCCACCCAGGACGCGCGATGAGCGCAGGAGGGATGACCGTAAGCGGCGCAGTGGCGAGTCCTACCGGGAGCGACACGAGCGGCGCATGGGGACCATCCGGGGGCGGAGCTACAGCCGGAGCCGCAGCCGGAGTGGGAGCCGGGGCAAGAGCGGGGACCGGGAGCACGGCCGGGGCAAAGGTGGGTCTGGCCGCCGGGGAGGGAGGGGGGACCGGGAGCACGGCCGGGGCAAAGGTGAGCCTGGCCACCGGGGAGGGAGGGGGGATCGGGAGCACGGCCGGGGCAAAGGTATGTGCGGCCGGTGAGGGGGGGGTGGTGGTGCATCTTTTAAGGGTCTATTAAGGTTCGGCAAAATGGTTTCAAAGTCCACAAGCATGGCTTGTTAATTCTGGCTTTTAATCGTTTATCGGTGCTCATTCAGCCATGAGGTATGAAGTCCAGGTGTGTAATATGCGTGTTCGTTCCTGTGTGGTGCCGCCACGCGTGTGTTAAATGCCCATCTGTCTGTACTGCAGCATATACTGGTGTCATTAGTGCCCTCAGTTTAAGGGTTTCTTTCCCTTCCTGTCACAGAGCACAGGTCCAAGTTCGAGCAGGAGAGGAAGGACCAGGAGGGCTACACTCCCACCACGGCGCCCCCTGCTGGCAGCTCCCTGCCCCCTCCAGCGCTGCACCCCCTGCTGCCGCCTCACCACTCGCTGTCCTCAGAGGCCGCCGTCACTGCTGTCCCCAGCGCTGTTACCGTGGTAGCGCCCGCGCACCTGCCCGACGGCACCACCGAGAGCTGGTCCAGCTTCTTCCCTCCCAACCACGGCGAGGGCAAGCAGTTCAGCAAGAGCGCCGCGCCGAAACGCCGCTGCCGCGACTACGACGGTGAGGCCCGCCTTGCGGCTTTCTAGAAACTTCTCTTACTGTGTCTTTGAAGAGAAGCGTTTCTTGCTGTCCTTGTGACAGGAGTAAGGGCTGATCGAACTGGTGTCTTTCATTCAGGAGGAAACATAGCAGAGTTTTCCTTGTGCAGAGTGTTAAATTTAATTAAAAGTCTTGGTGTAAATCGGTGCAGCTTATGTCTGATACATCAGTGCAATTAAATAAGCAATAAAAAAATAATCTTGCATATCAAAATAGAGGCAGTCGCTGTCCATACTATCGATGGAGAGAATAACTGATGCCGTTACCTTGTTTTGTACGGTGTTTTATAGAGTGTAACCCTTTAGTTTAACCTTATTATTGTGGGAGTGGAGCTTTAAGGCTCTACAAAGGGTTGCTATTAGTTACTGTTTGTCTCCCTTTTGGCTTGTAAGCCATGGGGGGGGGGGGGGGTCTCTGAAGGCAGCCTGAATGTTTCCCTGGGGAGTCGGGGCCCAGTCCTATGCTCCCTGACAGCCAGCAAGCCACCCCTCAGACTCGGCAGTGGGATTTGGGGGGGGTTCTGGGTACGTGCTCGGTGGTTGTACAGTGCCCCCCCCCCCTGCTGACCCTGACTGACTTGCTTTCCAGAGAAAGGCTTCTGCATACGTGGGGATCTGTGCCCATTTGACCACGGCAATGACCCGTTGGTAGTGGACGACGTCACCCTGCCCACCATGATCCCCTTCCCGCCCCCACCTGGAATGCCACCCCCCCGGGCCCCCATGCCCCCCATGAGCAAGCCTCCACCAGGCATCCGGCTCCCGCTGCCCCCCCACGGGCAGCCCCCCCTGCCTCCCCTCTTCCCCATGCCAGGTGCGTCTCCGTGGGCCCGTTGCTCCTGATGGCATCGGCCCTCCCTTCCGCACACACACACACACACACACACAGACACACTCGCTCACACACACACAGACACACTCGCTCACACACACACAGACACACTCGCTCACACACACACAGACACACTCGCTCACACA